GGCTCTTGTTCATATGGTACCTCTTGAAATGGTTGAACATTAACCATTTCCTTTTGGTACAATGACTCTGTGTATTCCTTCCATCTTTTCTTGATGCGTTCTGCATCATTCAATAATTTGCCCAGAGAGTCTTTCAATAACATGCATATGAGGTGATTGAAAATATCATGGTTTGGGTCAGGCGCGGCTTAGTCTACAAGGGGATGTACTGGGACATTTAAATACAAAGAAGAGAAATCAGCTCAGACTTTTAAGCCTGGCCTTTTTAATAATTTTGAGTTCTGTTCCACATTTTCTCCCACTCAGTCTGGGACCTTATAATGTGATTCCTTTCAGAAGAGTTGGTTGTGGTAGCTGGACACTATCTGGTTCTTCTGGTTTCAGAGTCATGGAGACTGATGTTCACATGCTTCATTGGTCCATTGGATTAGTTGATTCCAAGCATCTTCAGTGTCATCACTCTTTTTTTCTGCACATGGAAAGACCAATATTTTCTATTTAATTTTTGACAACTTCCAATTTCCCTAGATTCATATTTCATACAGTCCACGTTCTAGTTATTAATGGATGTTTGCAGCTGTTCCTTCTGATTTTGAGCTGTGCCACATCAACAAATGAAGGTCTTGAAAGCTTAATTCCATCCATGTCATTAAAATCAACTCTAAGGAGGCATCCGTTTCTCAGTTGTATTTTGAGTGCCTTCCAACCTGAGGGCTTACCTTCCGGCACTATATCTGATAATGTTCTGCTGCTTTTCATCAAATTTTCATGGCTACCTATTCAGAAATGGTCTACCTATCCTTTTTTCTAGTCTGTCTTAGTCTGGAAGCTCCACTGAAACCTGTCCACCATGGGTGAACCAGCTGGTGGTATGTAAAATACTGATGGCATAGCTTCCAGCATCACAGTAACGCACAAGTCACAACAATATAACAGGCAGATGAATGGTGGAAATTTAAAAGTTAATTGGCACAAAGTAGTTAAACACTTTTCTCTGTTTCTTTTAAGTCTTCTCTTTATCTTCTTTTAAATCTTTTCACATTCCTAGTGCTGTATATTTGTGTTCTTCTGTTTTTTTTTCTGTTTTGTTTTGGGGTTTTTTCCATCTTGCCAGAGACTGGATAAATTGTTAATTTTTACCAAGTCATTTTGGAGAACCAACTTTTGTGTTTATTTATTGACTTTATAATTTTTCAGGAATTTTGTTTTGTTTCACTTTTCAGATTCATTAATCTGTATTTGTATCTTTATTAAGTCTTTCCTCCTGTGTCAAATTTATTTTATTGTTCTTATTCTAGTTTCTAGAATTGAATTATATGCTTAATTTTTATTACCAATTTTTAAAAATTATAAAATCAATGTAGACCCATTATAGAAATTTGAAAGTACAGTCAGTCCTTGTGTTTCAAAACTTTGAACCAATGGAACCAAACCCCTATTTCCAGCAAATTCTTTACCACAGTCTTCTTCACTTTCTGTATGTACAGCTTTCAAGTAATTGAAAAGACTTCAATCCTTTTCTTGTACTAAATAAAGGCTCAGTAAGAAGTGTATGTATTGGTTCCAACTGACCTGCTGGTCTCGTTCATAACCCTGGGACGGCCTGTATAGAAGTTACCAATCAAGAAAAACAGGTGCCCTCTTTCTACCCTCAGAAGCTCTCTTTACTTTTCACCAGTTTCCTTCCAGTGTCTGTGGGTACCTCTTATTTGGTATGTAATAATTATGTCCCTGCTTTTATCTCCCATGTCATTAGAAATGATGTCTACAAAGAATCTCTACTGACTGTAGAATGTGCCTTCCTATAGGATGAAACATAATTCACCAAAACATTCTCCTACTCTTAGGCATCAGCATACTTTCCAACATTTTGCATTTATAATTTGCAAAGAACATTTATGTGACTAACTCTCTGTCAGCATTTCAGATGATTTCCCTAGTATAGATTGCTGAAAGTGGGTCAGAGGATATGAACACTTATATTCTTGAAGCAAAATGTGAAATTGTTTCCTAGAAAAGTCATCAGTTTACATTCTCAACCAGTAAAATAGCTATCTCATTGCCGCACCCTCACCAGCATTGAGTATTGTAATTTTCTTTAATCTTTGCAGATTAGCCATTTAACTGTGTAGCATTCCAGGAAACCAAAAGTTAAGTGCAAAAGTCCACCTGCATGTGACAAACCTCTAAGGCATGTGGTTTTTGTTTGGCTTTCTACCCACTGCCCGGCATGTTCCCAGACTGCCTTCCTTTGCTATCCACTCAGCAATTGCTTAAGGAATGCAAAAAATTCTTCAGAATTCAATTTCTCCAAACCAAGCATTAGTGACTTTTGCAGTTTCCATACCTTTATTTCCCCTCCATTGTAAACTGCTGTTGGGTCAATTCTTAGCTGGTGAAAACTTACAAAACTGGGTGGGTAGACCCAAGAGTTACCAGGAGGCTTCAAAACTAAGAGGTAATCTAAACTCTGCTTATGAAAGGTGGGTTGTGGTCTGTCATTCTCAATCCTGAAAACAAATCTTGGGTCTTTCCTTGTTCATTGTTTCATGGCATCATCAGCCTAATTGAACCCCAGAGGCCTTAATGGAAGGACACTTAAAATGACCTTAAATGAGACTAGAATATTAGTTTTGTAGCCAGTCCTGTAGGGGGCTTCTCTTGGACCACTGGATCACTATGCTTATTTATGATCTACTAAAATACACACACAAAAAAGGTATATGTTTTCATTTTGTCCCTAAGTGAAACAGATTTTTTCTGAGCATCAGTTTTATATTTTAAAAACAAAGGGATTGGTCTAAGGAGTTTAGAGATCCCTTCCCAACTTTACAATGTTTTGGCCTTATAAAACTTTAGAAGAGATGTCATAAAGTCTATGAAATCTTGAAAATTCTTTCTGAGACTATAGCGTCATCCTCCAACTCCCAGATGATTAACACGGCTTTTGCCTCTTGGAGAAATGGTACAGAATAGTCTACAGAGTAGTCTACAGAGTGGGAAATAAGCTGTAAGCTGCTTTTCTTTTGAGGCATTCATTCCACCTTCATATGAGTTTCAAGAGGAGTTGTTATTTTTACTGAATTATGCATTAAGAAGAGCCAAAGGCGTTTGTGGGCAATTGCTAATCCTTTTAAGACAGCAGCTAGACAGTTCTTATGGGACTTGCCTCCAAATCTTTCTCTGGTGCCCTTGTCAAAAATAATGAGTATTTAGTCAGACTCACTGTGACTTCTCTCAGTTTCAGTACTGCAGGACACCAGGCACTGACTATGTGATTACTTTGTTTTTTTTTAAAGGAAGTTGACATTTTCTTGATTAAAGAATTTGCACAGTTCAATTTTTGAAGCTGCCTTTATTTTGAGGTCCTCAGGCTACTCTAAAGCAAAACTGCTTCTTGGGAGATGATGAGAGATGCATTGTGAACTGTTCATCAGAGACACACCATGATATCCTGTCTCCATACAGGGCTGGGGCGTCAGACACATCACGTTTGTGGACAATGCCAAGGTCTCCTACTCCAATCCTGTGAGGCAACCTCTCTATGAATTTGAAGATTGTCTAGTGGGTGGTAAGGCCAAGGCCCTGGCTGCAGCAGACCGGCTTCAGAAAATATTCCCTGGAGTGGTATGTTGATGCTTTTTGGGGAACATCAGAGGTTTTATTCTGTACCTTTAAGTTTTTGAGTTTTGAAGAATGAGGCTCTATGGTATTAGTGGAAGAATCCAGCACCTGCCACTTACTACTAGGTACTGGGTCTCTGTGTCCCCATCTTGGAGATGGGGATTAAAAAACAAGACAAAACTCTCATATATTATCAGGAATATTAATATTTGAAGAATGTATGGAAAAAACGTCTTGTAAGTTACATGGTACAATAGGAATTTATGTTGAGTTTTTGTGGGGTGTGTATATTTTTATATCTCACCTTGTTCAAAAATAGTATTTATGGTGGCTCCAATGTAAGGTTTTACTTTTCCTCCATCACTAAAATAATTTATAGTTACTGAGTACAGATTTATGGACTTCTGTAAAACAGGAAGGCAAGGCTGAAAGTTACACTTTTTACTCTTTGTTGTTGTTGTTAAGTGCCATCAAGTTGGTGCCAACTCACAGCGACCCTGCATAGGGTTTCCAAGGAACAGCTAGTGGGTTTGAACAACCAACCTTGTGGTTATCAGTTCAGTGCTTGTCTTCTTATAGCACCACACCAGGACTCTAGCTATTTCTTATTTTTGAGTTGCATTATTTATTTTAAAAACACCAGATGATAAGAGATACCTCATTCTTCTCATTTGGCTCAAAATCTTTCCAGCTGTTCTTTTGTTTGTTTGTTTGTTTTTAGGTCTGGTTTGGTTTTTGTTTCTGCTTATTTATTTATTTTTAGGTCATCTAGCAAAACAGACTTTGCATCTTTCATGCTTAATCATTTTTTATCTGGCCAGAGTTAGATTCAAAACATACGTTTATACTGTGCTTAAAGAGGCTCTCTGACCCTTCCCAAATCAGCCTACCTCTTGAAGTTCCTCTGTTTAGTTAGTCTTCCAATTTAGACATCCTTGCTATAGAAGCACCTTTGATGGTTTTGTCCTTTAGTGTACCTGAGGAACATCATTCACTGAGTTTAATTCAGTAGTATTGATTAAGCACTGCTCTGGTAGTGTTGTTGTTGTTGTTGTTAAGTGCCGTCGAGTCGGTTTCGACCCATAGCGA